AGCAGGTCCACCCCAAGCCTGTACTGGTACCTGGGGTTGTTCCTCCCCAGGTGCAGGACCCTGCATTTGCCTTTGTTGAACCCCATCAGGTTCCTCTCTGCCCAACTCTCCAGCCTATCCAGGTCACGCTGAATGGCAGCACAGCCTGCTGGTGTATCTACCACACCTCCCAGTTTGGTGTCATCAGCAAACTTGCTCCCAGCGCTGCCCGGCAGCGGGGAAGTGCAGTACTGAAAATCATGCTAACCAAAAACCACATCAAAATATTTGGCCTCTGGCTGCGGAGCGGGAAGAGAACGGGGGCGGCTCCGCAGCGCCCAGCACAGCTTCAGAAGCAGCCAGCACCGAGAGAAGGAGCTCGAGGGCAACACAGAGGCTGAAACTCCTCAGCGACCTCGGAGGCTTCAGGGGCACCTCACAACCCGTTCAAGACCAGAACAAGGAAGGTCTCCCCACCATGAAACCAGCCTGAACTCACCAGTACGCAAACTGGGACCAGCTGGACAAAGCTTGTTGAAAAAAAAACCTCCCTGTGCCCGGTATGGGGGGGGTTGGGGGGACCAGAGCTGACACAACAGCAGCCCCCTTACCTTTGAACTTCTTCAGCATGTCCCTCATGCCCAAGCAGCGCTCGGGGATGCTGTAGTTTTCCTTCAGGGTCACAGACACAGGCTTGGGGGACTGGAGCTTTATCCACTCGCACCTGGAAGGAGAGCGATGCCCACGGGCTGTACCCGGAGCCCTCAGCAGGGCCAGCCCGCTGCTGTGGGTGTCAATGCCCTTCTGTCGGCCACGCAGACGCATCTCCTCCCTTGGGCTCTTCATCTTTGGGGAGCTTGAGGGACAACTGCTCGCTTATCGGCAAGCCTGGTGGGACCAGAGCTCAACAGTGCGGGGAGCGGCAGTGCCAACCCCGGGGAAGGAAGGATGAGGCCAGCCGGGCAGCATGGCCCTGGAAGAAGAGGATGGGGTCTTTTCTCCAGGCCCCGCTGGTCTCAGCCCCTGCTTTGCCAGCCCCAGGGAGGACCACACCAGAGGCTGGGCAGGGAGGACAGGGGTGGCTGGCATGGAGCAGACATGGACATCCCGCTTAGAGCCTGGAGGCAGCCAGGACAGCAGGAGGAACGAGTACAGGCACCTACCTGCTCAGGACGATTTTCATGTCCTAGAAGGAAAGAGAAAAACCATTCTGGGTGTAGGGCTCCAGAGCCTCGTGCCCACCAGCCAGCCTGGCCTCGGCCACCCGCCCAGATGGCTGAGTTAGCGGGGCTGGTGGGATGGCCTGACCTTTAGCAGCCCATGGGCTGGCTGCTGGGTCTTCTCCTTTATCTCCAGGATCAGCTCCTCCAGCACGCATTTCTGCTCCACCAGCCTGGCCAGGTTTTCACTGATCATCAGCAGAATCTGCTTCTCCTCCTCCTCCAGCTTCTGGAGCAGCAGCTTCTCACCCTCGCGCACACGGCC